TAAATTCTTAGGACTCCAATAGTCTTAATTCGGCCCTGACAATTTTCCATTTTACAAGCTGTTGAGGCAATTTTCAACTATAATAAATCTTACGTTAAAGTCAAAATCCTCCGGTATATCACCCAAACGAAATCAATGGTCAGCTTGCCTTTCAGGCCCTCTTTCAACAAGCTCTTAAAAGGGATGTGAATATTTAATAGATCCTCCTGTCTAAGAGTGCTGCGTCTAGTCCCTTCCATATAGCCCTAAAATCGATAGAGACTGGCGCGGTAGTGGAGACTGACTACCGTTGATTCAATGCCAATCACAGCACTGTATACAATAACTGGAAAATAAAAACAAGTTTGCACAATTGATCTGACTGATCAATATTACTAAATACTTGTATTCCCAGATGTTATTTAAAACCATTGTCGTAGCGATCCGTTTTGGAATATATGGAGTATTGACGTATGCCTTTCGGACATCGTAACGCCGCCTCAACTTTACAGACATCTCCAGCTTGTCCCTTGAGGTCTGGATTTCTTCAACCTCTACTTTGATGATACTTTGTTTCTAATTCAGATGTACACATTCCCCCCCCCCCAAACAAATTTTCGCTAGCCTTTAAGAGTATGATCAAACGTAAAATCTCGCAAAATGTATTTTTGAACAGTTCTATGCTCCGTTTCTCAATTGTTTAATAATAGCAATAGCACCCACAAATGCTAAAGCAATCTTAGAAATTCTTCAACATAAAACAATTACTGACTTGCATCGTTTCCTTCCTGTGATAAATATCTGTCAGCGTTTTTTCTCTTTCGCATGCAATCTCCATTCAATGAAAAGAGTTGATAGAGATCTCATTCAACTATATGATAGAGATCTCATTCAACGGTATAACATTATTCTACCCTCCTTTAATCAATGTAAAACGTATCTGCTAATTTGTCTACTTTAACGGTTTGCTCTATTAATCACAAAAGAAGTGTATCACGGAACTATAAGGAAAATATCCTCATCCTCAACCAGTGCATCACGGAACTTCTCTTAGTTATAAGGAAAAAAAGCGTAAAACTTCTAGCGTAATAAAAGAAATTATTAAAAAAATCGAAATGTAACGCAATGTGTTCGAAACGAAACTAAGCAGGAAAAATTTTATAGCAGAAGGAAAGGAATGACTTTCTAAGGGAAATGGCTTTTATTTCTGTGACTTCTGTAGGAAAACTTAAAATATGTCATACAGGCTCACCGTGCTTTCAACTCATGTGGGACTAACATTGTTTAGCGGTTTTGAAACTTTTGTAAGTATATTTAGTTCGCTAATTGCAGTTGGCGTAAAATAGACCACTGTTTTGATCATTTTTTTACTACAGTTCATCTCTGTTAAACGTTCAATCTAAAATAAGTATATTTATTATCACGTAGGGTATTAGAGTTAGTATCGTGCTAAAATGATTAAAATATCACACATATTTCGCGATTTCTAGAATTTCTGGTATTCTGACTTAATTTTGAATGATCAAATTTCCATCAGTTCTATTAAATCTTGAATTCTGCGTGCATCGACAGTCAAAACATGTTTGCTTCACTTTCTATTCCTACATTCATTATTTTGTATTTTCGTTGCATGAATTGATCAGTTACGCAACATCACAAATTTTCAAATATTTATTTTGAAAATTTTGAAAGTTGACAAATAGCGCTGTATTTCCAAATCTCCTTATTCTGACAGATTTTTATGGAATATTAGCAGCTATTTTTTATTACTATGTATATAATAAGAAGATTCCTAAATAGTTTTCGTGAAAAACTGAATATTCAAGTTTGGCAGACTTCCTTTATAAGAGAACAGATGCTGTTGTTGAGGAACTTTGTAAGAACTGATTCATCGTATGTGAAAAACGGAAAAAATACGTTTCCATTGCACATAGAAGAAACTACGAAAACCTCCATACAACCTTTCCGTTTAGCAGGATATGAAGCATGCCAGACTACCAGTGCCCCCCCCCCAGTAATCTGACTCATTCTGCCACTGGTGGACTATTTGGTTAACGGTGTTAATCTCGGAAGTATATTTTAATAGCCCAGGGGTGTAACTAAAGGGAGAGTGGTTACTCCCCGCAGGCATACCTTTTGAGCCGCATTTATAATCCGAAACATAATTTTATATGGGTTATGAATAATCGAAGCTATTTTGATGAAAACAATATTTTACGCAAAGAAACGCTATTCGCAATAAATCTCATCACAGATACAAAAGGATTATTTATATTTAATACTGTGAGAACATACTTTACAAAAAATAATATTCATTTGAATAAAAATTGTTGCATACCCTACTGATGAAGCACCATCAACTGTAGGTCGCTATCCTGGATTTGTTGCTTATTTGAAACTCGAAGTGCCAAATGTTTTATGTATTCATTGTGTGGTGCACAGACAACATCTTGTAGGGAGATATCTAAGTACAAGTCATCATTAATTATAATTGTTCGAGCCGTAAACAAGATCAAATCCAATACAAAGAATGATAGAATGTTTCGCAGCATTGCCAGGACAATAATGAAGACTTTAAGTTACTTTTGCACGCAGAAGTTCTGTGGCTGTCAGAGGACTAGATTTGTATCATTACATGATAGTGCAACATAATCTTTTAAAAATAATAATGAGACCAACCTGTGTCAACAGTTAAAAACGGTAAAGAGTGATAGTTTTTTACTTGGCAGATATTTTCAAGAGATTTAACAATGTCAATTTGTAGCTTCAAGGTTAATAAAACTTTTGTAGGTTGCAAAAGTTTTATGCTAATACATTCTATAACAAAAAAATCGACGCACCAAGAAGGAGTTCTTCAATGGAAACAAAAATGGTGGATAGGAAGATTATGCACAGAATAGAAAATGATTAAATTTTCAGAACAATTGAATGATTTATTTCAGAGTTATATAATTACAAAATAACGAGCTCAATAAAGTGTTGACCCACCTCTAGCCTAGATGCAAGCTGTCACACGGCGTGGCATAGACTGATAAAGCTCTCGAATGGTCTCCTGCGGTATTTCTTGCCGAATTTGCTCCAATTGTCGGGCTAGATCATCAACATTCCCTGGTAGATACAGTCGCCTTCCTATCATATTCACAAAACCAATCGAACGGGCGCTGCCTTAGACTTTTTTACCCGGTACCACATGGAAGGAGAGAGTTTTTGAATAGAACAATGGCTGCGACGAGACTTGGGTAGCGCAGTGAATGTTGAGACAAAATGACAATGGCATGGGATCATACCGGTTCTCCAACCTGGCTGTAGAAAGCATGTCGAACTTTGTTATCGAAGAAGTGGTCATCGTGTTTTGGGATGCTAATGGAATCTTGTCAAATTCATGGAACTTGGTATGGCAATCAATTCTGAACATATGAATATACTGTAACATTTTGAGAAAACTGAAAAGAGCCAATCAGAACAAACGACGCGCCCTGCTGACATCTGGGGACAATCCAGATCTCCACAAGTTCCTGCACGATAACGCTTGCGCTCACAGTGCTCAGGAACATAAGATCTTTTACGCCAATTCAATTGGGAAGTGTTTCAACGTCCCCCCTAAAGGCCAGACATGGCTCCTCCTGATTACGATTTGTTCCCTGTAGTGAAGAAGTGGCTTGGGACACAGCACTTCACTGACGATGAGAAACTTCAAATTATTCTGACAAGTTGGCTGAAGTTGCAGCGGCTGAATTTTATACAGAAGGGATTGGTAAATTGCTAAAACGCTATGACAAGTACTTGAATGTACACGATGACTACGTTGAAAAACAGGGGAAAGCTATTCCTTTCAGATATAAATAAAAAAAAAAGGTTCAGTCTATGCGAATTTTTTATTTACAGCGAAACGGGTTAGTTTCCGAACTGCCCTCGTTGTCTTCCCATTATAAAGTTGGCATCACACCAACGGACGCGAAATGTAATGCGAAATATTTCTTAGATGTCCCAGAACGTTTTTGAATGGCAGGTTTCTAGCCTTAATGACGTGAGTGAAAAAATTACGATTGACACAACGCTTCGTATACATCAAACAATTAAAACTCAGTAAACTAACTACATAAAATTTCTGGAAGCGAGGATTTTCGTCCGACTAAGTCAGAGATACTGTTTTCCGAACTGATAACAGGTTAAGTAAAACAAAGCATTGTCAAGAGTTATGATTTCTAAATTTAAGGGCAAAAAGGGAGGCTACAATCTGCACATTTTAAATCTGAACAAAAAGCAAATTCAAACTTCCTTCTATTTTGTTAGAGTCGCATATGACGCTGCTAAGTGACAGCAAATTTCTTCCGTAATTTTGACTGCAAACCAAAGATTTTCATAGAGCTCGAAGGGAGGTAAAGTCCTAATATACATTTACATTGATACGCCAGCCGAAAGAATAAAAATAAGTTGGATTATGTTACTATGTGATCCTCATAGGTTGCGCAAATCATTTCGGGTCTGTTGCATATTTATTAATTTAAAAGCAAAATTCCATTGTACTTTATGATTCAACCTTTGTATCCAAACAACAGATATCAGCTGCACAAAATCAAACGAATCATTCTACTTAAATTTCTTTCTGTAAAATGATGATATTTTTAAGACAGTAAGCTGAGATGACTGAATTGTTTTGCTCTTTGAAGAAGAGATATCCTACATTAGTTTGTTTTGAAATGCATTGAAACCAAACTATGACAATAGTTTGGTTAGGTTTCCTAAAGAATCCAAAACAATAGTCTAAGGTTAAATTTTGCTTAATTTTAAAAGTAAAGTAGTTATGATTGTTACATATCATCTTTGCATCTATCCAAATTTCAAACATATGCATCCATAGAAAACAATCTATATTTCAACATTCTTTAGTTGCAATTCAAATACAAAAGTAGGGAAGCTATAGTACTGCATGATGAGAATGAATTGAAAATATACTTCAGTATTCATTGTAACAAATGTTATTTAATATAAGATATTTATTTAAAAGAAATCAATAAATATAAAATTAGAAAACATCTTTATTTTTAATAAAATATACAAAAAACAGCTATTTAACTAATTATAAATATTTGTCATATCTTTGGTAACTTTGAAGCAGCAACTACAGGATTATTTAACTGAAGTATTCGCCGCCCTTCTGTTTTGTAATCATATGAGCAATTGTGAACTTCTGCATACCTATGAGAAGCACAAAAGTTTTTTCCACATCTGAAAAATTAAACACACTTATGTTTTTCTGCAAAATAAATAGCAATTTTTGATCAGTTATTCATAAGAGAACTATTTCTTAAGATGAATACCCATAAAATATTATGTAGTGTTCTATGATAATTAGCCAGTTACCTTATTATTTTTTTGCACTTTCACTTAAAACATTAAACTTTCACATTAAACTTGATTATTTACAAGCGCAGAGTTTGAGAGAGAGAGCCTTTTGCAGGTATAACGCCATGCATCACTCTACTACAGCTCTCTATGATTGAATCACTTCAATTGGTTTTGCTATGCATAACTGAACAAAAAATTTTATAACTGCATTTCATTTCGTATTTAATATTTAAATTTGATTTCAGCATTTGTTCTGAGTTTCCTGCAAGCTGCAGAGATTTGATTTTATGCTATTATTACTAAATCGTGGAACCATAAAGCTGGTTAGCAAATAATAATAATAAAAAAAATATTTTAAATCTGCTTCTAAGTTAATGTTATTCTACTTAGAAGTAAGGATGGAACAAAAAGTTCTCCAAATGTATTTACATTCTCTGAGTTAATATTTAGAGTAATGTGGTTTGGTTTATTGAGATTATGGCAAAGCACACTAGGGCTATCTGCCTAAGGGGAGGGATGCCTTAGTGGAGGACTTTCTAAGGGAAACTGGCTTATTTAAAGTAATGTGTATCTGCGCAACTAAATTAATGACTTTGTGATTAAGAACTAATTTTAATTATGAATGCTCAAAAGATTGAATGAAATAAAAAACTTTCACAACAATCTAGATTTAATTCAATTCTAGGCTATACATGTAAATGTAAATTTTACTTTAAAATCTTCATTCATATTATAGTAATTTATGTAAATAATTGTATTTATTTATTTTGAATTTGTTTCTATATATTTTTGCAGTGTTAGATATTTTCCTATTCAAATACATTTTGCATGATAATATCTCTTTTTATATATTCTGTTGAATCTTGAATTTCTATTTTTACACTGTATTTGCATGTATTATATGGAATAACTTTTCTTCAAACAACATTTGGGTTACAGGTAAGATAGCCTCCTACACAGTGTTCACAACAATGTTTGTCATCAAGTCTGCAACATTTGGTGATTTCTAACGAAAATGCCAGAAACAGAGTTTTCAGAAAACTCATTTTCGAAGTTGTAGGAGTGATTTTTCCCCCCTGGATGATTTTTAGATATGTTTACCTTCTTGCTCGAACAAAGGTGTGTGTGTGTGACTACAAAGTTTCAACGAAATTCCCACAAAATCAAAAGCTGAAGCTAACATTCTTACTTCCATAGCTTTTATAATCTACACTGGTGTGCAAAAATTAAGGACGAAGTCAAAAAATTAGCATATCAGCTGAAGAAGCAGAGCGACAGAAACCAATCAGGAGATTATAAGGTGATGTACAGTAGCACATGCGAGAGGCAGGTAGACGTAATGGGGGAGGGGTCGTAAAGTTATTGTGGTGGTGTAAGATAGTTTTCTGGCAAAGGAGCACGCGTATAGCCGTTAGAATCACACCAAGTTGCTGCTCAGCGAGAAAATGGCGGATATCAATCTGTTAACGACATCTGGATGCTTTTACCCGAGTCGAATCATGGGAAGTTGGAGGAGGGCGCAGTGTGACAAGTGTGGCTGCAGAGTCCGAATTGCTCACAGCATCGTTTCCACTGGAACATTTCAAACTACAGAACAGCTATCCAGGGGTTTTAGTGGTCGTCTACGAGAACCACACCCGCAGATGACCGGTATATGCCTTACAGCCAAGAAAAACAGGCGGCGACAGCGGGGAAAATCGCTAGACACACGACACAGGCGACTGGACGACCGATATCGCGTTTACCGTGGCCAGAAGACTGCACGGTGGTGGTCTGTTTGCACGATGCTTGTACGGTGTGACTCTAACGCCTGCCCCGGAGGAAAGAAAGCGTTCTCTGTGGTGCTGGGAACACCGGAATGAAGAGAGACCAATGATGGGGACAAGTACTCTTTACAGATGAGAGCAGATTCAGTCTGAGTAGCGATTCTCATCGCACTTCTGGAGAGAGCGGGGGAGCCGCAATCCATCCCTCGAACATCATGAAAGGGACAGGTATGGAGGTGGCGGTTGTTCTCCTTTGGGGAGGCATCATGCTTGGTAGTCGTACAGACCTTCACATCTTTGACGCAGGTTCTGTCAACGGGACCCGTTATTGTAACAAGATTTCTTCTTCCATAGTGCGTCTTTTTAGAGGCGCTATGGGTCCGCAGTTCCTTTTCATGGACGACAATGCACCATGTCATCGCAAGTAGCTGCCGAACAGCTCTTGGAGAGTGAGGATATTGAAGTATGGATTGGCCGGCACATCTCCGGATCTCAATCCATCAAGCATGTATGGAATTTTCTATGCAGACGCTTGGCAGCTCGTACCCTTACCACCAGTACGATTCCGGAGCTTCGATTGGCGCTGCAGAAGAATGGGCAGCAATGCCTCAACAACTCATTGACACCCTCATTCTCAGCATGGGCAAGATGCTGTGAAACCTGCCTCTATCAGTCAGGGGAGATCGTATCCCCTATTAAAGACCAGATGTTTTTCTGGAACACCCATCACAGGGATGTTTCGGCCTTCAGTTCGCATTGCGCTCCATGTACTTTTTCAATAAAGCTTCTTTTTATCCCTCTCTTTCTTTCTTTTAGTAAAGTGTTGCTTACATTACTCATGTCCTTACGTATTGGGGATCTTACGGTATTAAATGTGTTGATTTGGAAAGCTTTTGTACAAAGTTATATTGAAAAATCCATCTCGTCCTTAATTTTTGCTCACCAGTGTATAGCATACATTCATAAATCTATAAAATATTTCGCACAGTCATGCAGCAGCTTAATTCCATTGTAGAACCTATTTTTTAGAAAACTATTTAAGTCTCTGTTTATGGTTTTCTGAATCTTTCAGTGCTATTAAAATAACAACTTTTGAAGTCAGACTTTCTTTATGGAAGAGAAAATAGTCTGCAGCTGCCAAATCATATGAATAAAAGGATGATTGAGAATTGTGAAAGTAACTTTAGAAGAATTTTTGTTTTAAAATAACAATTCTTTTTAAAAAGGAAGATACATTATATTTTAAGGACTAGATTGGATTATTGGAAAGCACACAAGGCCTAACAGATGAGATGTTCCCATGAAGGAATTTCTAAAGGAAAGTGGCTCATATTCATGGAGAAAAGCATAGAACTCATGGAGAAAAGCATAAAAACTGTCATGAAACCAATCAGTTTGCCAGGAGAATTCTCAGCATGCTTTCCATTCAGCCTCTAACAGGCCCATTACAAGCTATAGAAAACATTAATTTTTGTTAAATGCAAACAAATTTTGGAATATTAAAAGTTGAACCAAGAAAATGTTATTAATTATTTATTTATAGCTTTGTAGATTGTTTGATTTGAGGATAAGGCTCTGATAATTTGGCAACAAGGTGACCTGTCTTGATATAAGTGCCCTAATTAAAGCTCATTTACTGTATTTATTTCCTTTTATAGGAAACCCATTTAGTTTTCTAGAAACACGTATTTTGAATGAGAGTGGCAATGGGTGTTTCTTTTTAATGAAACAAAATATTTGGCACCATAAGCGACAAATATATCATTTAAATAAGAAAAATAAAGCAAATACAATAGAAACTGTATTCAATAGGCCTTTATCAACCAATGTCTTGGTTAATCAAACCTGCCATCAATTCAAAGAAAAGATTAGGAAAATGTATATTAGAAAAAATAAAGAGAAAGTCAGTAACATTTGCAAATTATCAGTGATTAATCTCTTCGCATACCTTATCAGTAAAGGGTCATTTAATGACCTTTCTACAGTTCATAGGTAAAAATTTCATGTGCTAAAAGTGAAGGTAATATTAACTGACAATTAATTTGCAGATACTATTAAAAAAACAGGATGATATTTCCAAATGGATAAATGTCGAAAACAGCAAACCAAACTTGATCTTGAGTGACAAAGAAATCAACCGTAGTATAGATTCGAAAAGCAATAAAAACTGCAGTGATGCTGAGTACGATGATAAAATGGAAAATAGGAAAACAGCTATGCTGAAGTCTCGCTTTTGATTTATTTTGATTATTTCAAAGCACACAAGTGTTCTCTACCTAAAGCGAGGGATGCCTTCATAGAAGACTTTTTAAGAGAAACTGGCTCATATATACATTACACATAGGGAAAGCAAGAAAACTTTCATTTAGCCAGCCATGTTCAACAGAACTTGAACCTGGTTAACTACCAGTATCCAGCAGTTTTACTGCTATGCCAGTAATAGGCGTTGACGTATTTAGAAAAACTGAAAAAGTCTGATACTTCTCTTATGGATCTTTTATTGAACAACTAGCAGCTTCGCTGCCAGACTTCGTCTGGCTTTTAAATATACTGGAAAAATGGCTGAAGGGAACACCACACGTTAAATTTAATGAAGGGAAAACAACCCCCCCCCCTTATTTATTATGTATAACAAAATTACAATGAAATAAGCATATCCCTTAATACAAATATTAATTATCCTAATAAATAAATTAACCAACTTCCCTTTGCAAAATCTAAGAACTCAAATACAATGAAGTGACAAGTCATGGGATACCTCGACATGGCCATGACTCAACAAGTCGTTGGAGTCCCCTGCAGGAATATTGAGCCATGCTGCCTCTATAGACGTCCATAATTGTGAAAGTGTTGACGGTGCAGGGCTTTGGGCACGAACTGACCTCTCAATGATGTCCCATAAATGTTCAATGGGATTCATGTTGGGCGATCTAGGTGGCCAGATCATTCGCTGGAATTGTCCAGAATGTTCTTCTAACCAATCATGAACAATTGTGGCCCGGTGACATGGCGCATTGTCATCCATAAAAATCCCATCGTTGTTTGAGTACGTGAAGTCCATGAATGGCTGCAAGTGAGCTCCAAGTAGCTGAAGGTATCCATTTCCAGTCAATG